TGTCAACAAGTTCTCCTTAAAGCAACTTCAGCTTGGCAGTTATCAATACAAAAAGGGTTTGCCAGCACAGCCTCTGTGGTCAACCATGAGATACAGAACATTTTAAATAAGAAATAAAATGAAGGCAAGAGATCTTCCTTGCTCTTTCAATACTACTCTATGCTCCCACTGCAGGCACAGAGGAAAAAAGAGGGTTGTGGTTTTTGTAAAGACATGCTAGCCCACAAGCTGTTATCTTTTTACCAGTTCAATTAAGTTGCACTTTGCACTGAATACTTTTGGAAACTGTAACTTGGTGAGAAGGTTGAGAGATCTCTATTAAATATTTGTATGCCAATTTTCAGGCTTCCCTGGGAAGACAATATACCTGCAGACATTCTTGTCAAAAGTTCAAGTTCTAAAAATAAGAGCTTCTGATGCTCAAACTTTCCTCAAAGTTAATCCTAAATGTGTAGCTATGTGTCTTGATAGATGGACTTGGCTGCCTCCACTGAGGACATATGAAAAAAGGCAGAATGAGTTGGGCTCTTCCTTTAGAGAAGGATATGGGTCAGATTACACAAACACATCAAGCATTCACTGGTCTGGTTCATGCAATACAATATATAATATTATGTGTTTGGTTTTGGCTTTGCATTTTATATTAAGACAACCAATTGTATTTTATTCAATGAATCACAGTTAAACAAGCTATGCCTTAGCACAATATGTGGATCCAGTCACTGCATCTGAGGAGGATAGAAATCACTTGCTATCCTTGCCTACATTTGACTTAGCAAGAAGCAATGGCTGAGAAAGCTTATGTTGCCTACTATAAAAGGCTGCAGGATGGAGTCCATAAGTAGTTCTGGAGAATGACATATGTACTTATCTTTCATCCCTGAAGATTTTGCCAAGAGGCTGTATTTGATCAGATCAACTAAAGTACATTTAGACTCTCATACTGGAATGAAATACTGGGCCTCTTTAAGCTAGGGAAAGAGGTAATTACTCTACCCCTAAATAATTCCTTTCAGATCTGTTTCTTAAAAAGAGAATGCCAACATTTAAGAAGTGCCATCTTAGGAAGGGGAGAGGGAAAAGAGAGACTTCCCATTCTCACATTCTCATAAGAAGTCATCAGTTTTCTGCCATCTGTTGCACTGTTACTAGCTGTTTATAATAACAAATCTGTTAAAGAGAAATACACTTATGCATGGCTGCTGGCATATGCTTCCTATCAGCAAATGATCAAAAGAATATTTTAAGCTAGCAGAGGATTGAGATCTTAGTAGGTTGTTGTAAAGAAGAAAATGTCATACAAAGGGGCAAAGTTTGTAGCCTCACCTGAGTTAGAATATACAGTACCACCATGTTAAGATCACACAAAAGTAACAAAGGAGGGGGTGGTACCTTTGACAATACTGAAGCTAGAGAGGGTTATTTCAGATTGTGCTGAACCAAACTACCTGCATCAGAAATGGGGGGTGGGAGGGAGGAGCTGAAATTTGTGAGGTTGAGGCAAACTGTGGGGAAGAGTCCTAGAATCCTTCAGAAAAGTCTTATCTTTAAATAGAAGGGGCTCAAAAATTTTCCTGAAGTCTTGCTTTGCTTGAAGTGGCAGGTTGGCTGAATTTAGATGCCAGCAGATTAACACAGCTTCTGGTGATTGTATGCCCAAGCCCCCATCTCAAAATGTTCCCTGTGACAATTCCAGTGGTCTCCTAGATCTAATCCATCCACTTTATCCACTGTCTTCCCCTTCTTTTCCCTCAATCTTAAGAATAATTGTCATTTTTCTAGTCCATCGTCCACTCATATCATATGTCCAGTATGAGAGTTTATACTGGCTGATCATTGCCTCTGGGGAGCAGTCAGACTTTATTTCATCCAGTACCTAATGATTGGTTCTTCTTGAAGCCCATAATATTCTTAGTAACTGTCTCTAAATCCATAATTCAAAGACGTCTGCTTTTTTTCTCTTGCTTTTTCCCCATGTTCAACTTTCACAGCTAAACATTATCTTTGAAAAAACTAACTGTTCTGACATAGTTGTCACAGAAATATCCTTATCCTTCATGATCATGTCTATACTTATTACTGCTTTCCTCCCTAGGATCAATTCATCATACTATCCATCTATCTATTCTTGAGCCCAAGAAATCAAAACTATCTACCACCTTCACTTCTTTGCCATCAACTTTGACTTGACTTCCTTTGTCTTAATATTTTATATCAACCCAGATTTTTCCCTTTTCATTTCTACTGTGATTCTTCTAATATATTTGCTGACCAAATTAAATTGCCTCTGAACTCTCAATTTCTATAGTAGATTTTAGTTTACTGTAAACTTTCCTAGACAGCCAGTTTGGTCTGGTGGTTAGTGGGGAAGCCCAAATTTTAGACACAGAAGCCTGCTTTAAGCACAGAGACCATTTGGGTAACCTTGGACCAGTCACTCACTCTCAGCCCTGGAACAAGACAATGGCAAATAATTTCCAAAGATGCTGCCAAAAAACTACATTCCTGGCCACTACGCTTCTGCATCTAATGGCCAGGAATCAAGACTGATTTGAAGGCACAAATATAACATAATAAAGTTTCCTCAGAAGGAAAATCAGGTGTTCTAGCACGCCCATTTTCCTCAGTGTGTTCCACACTCACACATGATTTATAGTCAAAGGCCTTGCTGTAATCTATAAAACAAAAATAAATCTTAAATTGTTTTGTTCTTACTATTATATATCTTATGTTAGCTATCTGGTGTTCTCTCTTTTCTGAAACCCACTTTTTCTTTAGACATTTCTCCATATATTAGTTTGGTTGTCTTTGCAAGATTTTAAACAAAACTTTACTTACATAAGGAAGTAGTGGAATGGTTTGGTAATTTGCACATTATTTTGCATGTTTCTTTTGTACAGTATATACATTTTTTAAACATCTCTAGGCCGCACAGTCTTGTTGCATGTCTGTCAATATAGAGCAGTTAGCAGTGTAACAATTTATCTTCCTGCAGCTTTAAACAGTAGAGTTTCTTCTGTTCTTGTCTCTTTCCAATTTGATAGTTGATCTTTTGCCTCTCAACTTGTGGACTTATTTTTTTCCTATGAGAAGTTTTTATCATCATTCTATACTCCCATTTGTAAAGCAGTTTAATACACTCTTTTCATCTTCCTTTAACCTCAGTCACCTATATTAGATTTAGATCTCCTCCATTATTATTCTTCAATCATTTTAACTTGTAAATTTTATTGTGATTTAATAATAATAATAAAAATAATAATAATAATAAAAAAAAACTTGTATGCCACCCAACTCTCAATGACTCTGGCTGGCTCTATGAACTACTTAGAATCATATCTCATTTTACTTTTCTTGTAATTTTCTTTTATTCTTCATTGAGACAGCTTTCCTTGTCCTTTCTTGCCTGATGTTGCAAGTTTGCATTCAATCATTGTACATTTTTGTAATCCATCCTTTGCTTTTCCCTAGCTTTCAAGATACTGTAGCTTGTTTTGAGAGTCATTTGGATCTTCTCTTGAAATTTTTCTTTCCATAGTTTCTTGGCTTCACTTTCTCATACCATAATTGAGCTGAATCTGTTGCATACATGGATCTTATATTTTGATGATGTCTTCCAGATCAAATTTTGCCGGCACACCTATTCTTTTTCATTATCCAAGTCTGACCCATATATTTTAGACCAATAATACATGATGTATTTCATAATTGCACTTGGACTAACTGCACTCTTCCATCTTCTGTTTCCTGATAGCCCATAAAAATTATACTCCTAATTTGAGATGCAAAATTAATTAAGGAAAGACCAAACAAATTTCAGTAAAACTCACTCTTTTTATTGCTACTGCACTAACCTCACATTTTATTTGTAAATATTCTGAATAAATACACTTATTACCGAAGTCTCTTTAGAACATTTCATTAACTGGTATGCCATTTTTAGCCTTCCTGTGTCTTTTTTCTCTTGCCATTGTTTATCAGTTAGTTCGGTTCAGTTTAATTCATCAGTTAGTCTTAGTTTAATGTAGCTAAACAATTTTGGAAAGATGGAACAAAAAAATCTTTACACGGATGCATTTTTAAAAAGTTTTTATTATGTTCTGCTGTGCCCCACCTACTTCAACTCAGGTGAGAAAAATGAAATGTATTATTTGGGTTCCTATGCAACAGTGCCTTGTCCTGAGTCTGTGGCATTTACCCCTGCCCTGCTTATCCAGACTGGCAATAGCTCTCTAAAGTATCCAGATATCATTCTAAGTCATGGTACACAAAATAATTTTTCTACAAAAAATTCAGATACCAAAGACTAAACTTGGAACCAAGATGCCCTATGCACTGAGGCCCTCCCTGTCATTAGTGAAATACAGGTAGTCCTTGGTTAACAATGGTAACTGGGACCAGAATTTCTGTCACTAAGCAATGCAGTCATAAAGCACAACATCACATGACCGCATTGCTCAGTGAGGGCAATTCCAGCACTCCCCATTACCATCGTTAAGTGAGGATCGCACGTCATTAAATGAGTCTCAGGTGGCTCGCAAGCAGGCCGGCAGGGAGATAAGTGGCTGCTACTAGGTGGGGGGGTGTGCAGAGGTGGCTGGCGAGGTGCAGTGTGAGCATGGTAGGGTTGCTGCCTGATGGGGGATACTATGAGCAACTTACTGGAGCGACTTGCAACCTTCCCTGCCAGTTTCCCCATTGACTTTGCTTGTGGGAAGCTGGCAGGGAAGGTTGTAAATGGCAATCATGTGACTGCAGGACGCTGCAACCATCGTGTGAGCTGGTTGCCAAGCACCCAGATCGCAATCACACAACTGTGGAGGTGCTGGGACAGCTGGAACCTCGAGGACTGGTCATAAGTCCCATTTGTTCAGCGCCGTTGTAACTTTGAACAGTCACTGAACGAGTGGTCGTTAAATGAGGACTACCTGTAGCCAGAATAACTGCTTGTTTGCCTGTGATGAAAGTGAGAAGACAAAACCAGCTCTCCAGCAATTATACTGACATTTTAATAAATATCGAGGCAGATTTAAATGTAGCTATTGCTTGTACTTTTAGACAGTACAATATATGGGAGTACATTTTAAAAGCTCCAGGACTCACGTTGTTTTTCCTGTAGAACACCAGATGAGCAAAATGTGGGGTCTTCACCTGTCAAAGAGAGCAACAGAAGTGTTAGATTCTATTTATAAGTACCTATGTTTCCCTTTAGAACCATTCAACTGCTATATCACCCATCAGTACCCACACCCACACCTTAAGGCCCAAACCTCATCCATTCAGCTCACATCAAAGATGGGCCATTGTGGCTTCCTCTAATTCCATCCCCCTGTCCACCATCTTTGCTTCTCTTCAGCTGCATCAATATATGACATATATAATGGCTTTAAAGTCATGTTTACTTTGGTAGGAATAACTACAATATGTTTTATAGATAGTGTACCAAGGGAAAGCACATGAAAACATTTCTGCTTCCTCTCTTCTGATGTTAGGGCTCAGGGTGCATTATAGAGCTTGTTGGGATCAGCAATTATATCTGGACTAACAGAAAGAAGGGTTGCTTTCCACCATGTCTACTTAAATATAATTCAGACACAAAACACCAATCCTTGGCTAGCATATGTTTAAAAAACAAATACACAGAAAATAGATTAATAGCTATTAGTCACAATGGTATCTCTCTGTACAAAGGTAACATATCATTGAATACCAATTTATAGGTGATGTAAGTTAAGAGCAGCCTTGTGTTTTTTTTCTTCCAAATTTCTTGTTTTTTTATAGCCAGACTACAAAAATAAACAGAGTACAAAAATATAAAAATAAACAATGAAGGAAACAAGGAAATACTAAAGACAATTTATAAATGACCAAAAACCCCCTAAACAGAACCCAGAAATAGAAGAAAAAAAGAGGGGGGGAATCCCTAAAGTACCAGTACAAAACATCTAAAATATGTATATATTAAGCATATAAAAATCACTGATTTATCAGAACATCTCCTTATAATAGTATACTGTTATCAAATAGAAAGAATTAAAAATTACCCCAAAATACTACTCTATTCTTGTAAAATATCATAAAATCTCAATGAAGAACATATTGCTTCATTTTCTGATTAACTGAAAATATTTCGTTTTCCAGATAAACTACATATTTCCAAAAGCTATAGTTAATATCTGGAATAGTACCACTATTCCAATTTCTCCAACAGTCCATCTAGCCCTTTTGTGTCCTACAAGTGCCAGTCCACTGCACACAGAGAAGCTCCCAAACAAGTACAGGAGGACAACAGTTTTTTTCACTGTTGCATCCCAGCAGCTAGTCCTTAAGGTATGCTACCTCTGATCCAGTCATGAAGAGTTCTGGGGACTGATGGCACAATCCTCCATGTCTTCATCCAGTCCCCTTTTAAAATAATCAGAACTGCCACAAGTTTAACTATGCATTAATACTGCTACTATACTCTGCTTGCAAGCCACCTAGAAATAATTTCCTGACAGCATGTTAAGATTGTACCTGCCACAGTCATGCCTATGGCACATTCCCTGCTACTGATAAGGAGAGTACTGGTCAGTTTGGGAACAGTTTGGCCAGCATTCCACAAATGCAACCACAGCCCGATCATACTCCAAACATGCTCATACTATTCCATACAAACCGAGGTGTGAAATAGTTGATGTGCATCCCACCAACTCAGAGGTACACAGTATACTCACATACTGTATTAGAAGAGAGATTAATTTTTCAACAGAATGAAAGGAAAGTGGATGTAAAAAAAAAAAGGTGTATAAGCTGCTTGGAACAGAGTGAAGAAAATACGTTTCAGAGTGCCACAGATGTGTGTGGGGTTATGCTAATGAGAAATATGAAAAAGGATACTTGGGGTGAAATGCTGACGGTGAAAGAGACTGTGGATGAGAAAAAGTAATGCCATAAAAATGAGGACAAGAGAAAGATATTGTATAATGTGCATAGAGAGAAAAAGACAGTTGCAAAGGATTGAATCAGATCGTAAGGAACAGTTAAAATTAAAAGAGAGAAATTGTACATAGAAATAAAATAGAAATAGAACTGTAAATAGAAATTTTGTTAGAAATAATTGTTTTATTTTTAAAATTAGAGTGGAGTGGAGGACTAACAAGGAGCCTCCAGCACAGTGAATGGAATGAAAAATAAAAAAGATAAATTATTTGGGATGAAACTGAAGTGAGGGAATACTGAAGGGAGCATTTCAGAGATCTGGATGGAAATGATTATGATAGATAAAGAGTGAAACTGAAACAAAAGTTATAAATGATAAAAGTCCACAAACAAAACAAAATAATACATGTTGTGAGCATGTTGAAAAATGAAAAGCCTGTAGGTGCAGATAATGTTAGTAGAGAAGTACTAAAATATGGATATGATTTACTTATGGAGTGGCTGTGTGATGTTTAATGTGTATGTGAAGACTACAACTGTGCCCGATGATTGGAAAATCCTGTAATTATTGCTCTGTAAAAATGGAAGGGCAGCAAGAGGGAACACAAAAATGACAAAATTAGTTTAACTATCCTTGGGAAAGTGTTTGGCAGAATTCTGATCAAAAAGTACAAGCGATGACTATGGCCAAACTCTGAATAGTACAGTACAGCTTTAGGCCAGGCAGGAGTGTGCAGACTATATTCAAGAGATCACTGATGAATTATGAATATTAGAAAGTTTATTTTACCTTTGCTGATTTAGAGAAAAGTATATAATAAAGTGAACTGAATAATTATGGAGTGTTTTTTTGTGAATATAAAGTTGGTTGGTAAAGAAAATAAAAATTGTGTATGATGTTGTACATGCATGAGAATAGATGGAATGCTTAGTCAATGGTTCAACACCGAGCAGGGAGTAAGACAAGGATATGTAATGGCCCCTTGGTTGTTTAATGTATTTAGAAATAAATGTATAAGAAATACTTGTGGTGACATTAACAGTGTTTTGGATGGGGACAGGAATGTATGTGTACTTTTTGTGTGTAGATGATGCCATGTTGTTCACTGAGAACCTGAATGATTTGCAGTAAATGTTAGATGTAATAGAGAATATAGGTCTGAAAATCAATATATCAAACACCAAGCCAGTTGTGTTTGACAGGGAAAACGGAATGAATGATTGCAAGTTAAATGGAGTTATAAACAAAAACTAGAGCAAGTAAATTGATTTGCGCACCTTGGTAAACTGTTTATTAAAGATGGGAAAATGGATGGAGAAATGTTAAAATGTGCAAATGTTGGTAGAAAGGCAGTGGATATACAGGGTCCACTGAAAGACATGAACGTTTATCCAAAGAAGGAAGAATGACGATGTATAAGAGTGTGCTTCTTCTGGCTTTGTTACATGGAGATGAGAACTGGGTAAGCCAAGTATTACAGTAAGTTGAACGCAATATAAATGATTATGTAAGAGGTTTGTGTGGTAAAACCAGAAAATGAATGAGTGCTGAATACAAAAGTGAATACCAGTACAAACATGTATATTATATTGAGATGGTTTGATCATACAGAGGTAATGTACCAGGCCTGAACTGGAAAACAAAAGAAGAAAGATTGACTGGGTCACGAGGAAGGGGAAGAATTAGGAAATTGTGGTTGGATTGAGTTGATGGGATAATCAAAAATAAAAATAAGAGAAGTCTAACAAACAAAAGTCAGCATATGAAGCTGTATAAATATATGGTGGAACAAGGGATGGCTTGCCAGGACAGAAAAGGATGGAGAGATAAGGTAAATGGTATTAGTGCAAACTAAATGTGGCTATTTCTCTATTCCTTATCTCCCTAGCTTTAATTTCTTTGGCTTAGCATTTATCATGCCCTTTCTGCACTTTACATAATGTTGCTTTTGCTGAAATGAAATAGAGTGATGGGTATGTATGTAAATAAACAACATAGACCAATTAAGATTAAACCATTAAGGACTTTTAAATCAAAGTCATGAGTAAAGCCAGCACCATGAGTGGTGACACCAAAAGATGACAGGGTTGTCTTATTTCATGCATTTAGACATCAGGAGCTGCTATAACATTTTCTGGATTTGCTTCATTAGAACTAAACTTTAAGTACAGCATGATCATGTTGAGTGCCAGCAAGTTCAGCATCATATCCTCTCACACCCCACTCTTCTGCCCAAAGACACTATTTATCATCTCCAAGTTATGATCAGTATTCTTCTTGGCATCAGATTACCAATTTCCAGTGAAGTCCTGGAAGAACTTTCCCATGCAATGATCTTCCAGATCATATATGTAGGGGTCACCAGTTGCAGGCCTTTTATCTTAATTAAACAAATGAAGGGGCTTGTTTTGAAAACATGGATAATGTGATTCAAACATGGCAAAAAAAGGCATTTACTGTCATAATTACAAGTTAAATGTTACAATTTCAATTATCATTAATTAAATTAAGGTTATAGTTTCATCTTGAACTATGTGATACAGTTCTAACAAAATTTTGCCTCCCGCAATTGGGTTACTTATTCACTAAGGTAATTGGGTCCTGAAAAAATTAGAAGCCAATTCTGTCCTTGTTTTTTTTGTAGATCTATAGCTAATAATACACTCAGAAGATATCTGTAAGTAAGAGCACCTATTTCCTATATGAAGAAATAAGTTAGGACTCATGCTTACAAGCAGATCTTCCAGCAGCAGCAAGGGCAGCTCTAGCCTGTTAGTGGAAAGAACAAATGAAAACCTTTATAGTAAATATTAAATACACTTTAATCAACTTCAACTTGGGAGTCCAAAAACTTAAGTTTCTATACTGGAGTATAGTTCTGTATGGTAAATAGCAAGCCATAATCTTCCTCTCAGAGAGCTCCAGTCAGAGATAGGCAGGGCAAACTATGACCAACTTTCTACGTAAAATAGCAAGGTGAGGTGGCTATCTGCAAATGGAGAGCAGGCCATGACCATTACTTTCTTTGCCGTTTCTACCCAGATATTCACTTTCTAGTAGCAAAACCTGTAGGAGCACTAATGAGGGATAGACACACAAAATGCTACCAAACTTAAGACTTTTCTCCTAGGAAAAAAACAAAAAGCACGAGTGAATACATAGCAAGTCTGTTCATCCAAACAGTAGGACTTTATTTGGGCTGATGTTAGTTCTTACCAGTTCCATAATAGCAAGGCTCAACTCTGAACCAGAGATAGTGCCTTAAAACTCAGAAGAAACGAGTTCAAACCAATCAGCTATGAATTAGTTAGATGGCTTCAAAGTTAATGGTTAATGTTTTTATTTTGTTGGTTGTATGGCTTTTAAATTTTGTTAGCCACTCTCTTTTGAGAGATGGGTGGCCCTATAAATCAATTGATAATAAATAAATAATTTTTAAATAGCTCGGATATGAAATGTTCGCATACCATTACTCCTGAGCATGTGCTCATAATGTACAGATACAATATATTTATTCCATTGGGCATTTCTAGATTGCTCCATTCTCAATGAATCCTGGGCTATGAACAACAGATGGATTCTGAGCTGTGAACAATGAACAACTACAATACAATTAAAATATAGTATGTATAGTAATTCCTACTGAAACACACACAAAAAAGCCTATCATGGTACCCGCATTGAGTTGGAGCCAAAATAACAAACTTGGAGAATATGAAGTAATGACAAAACTAATCGTATATATATATATATAACAGAAGTTTAACTAAATTTAAGCAAGAATGGCTTCATCATGATGATGATCATGCAGCAAGGTAAATACAAACACTTAAGAGTATGGTTTCTACAGTTTACATCAATAGGTACTGCAAATCGATTGGAGTACAAAAAAGGGGGAAGTGAGAAATCAAATATTTATCTATATTATTTTTAGAAGTGCTTTTCTTTTCTTTTTCTTCTTTCTTTTAACATTGATAAATCATATAATGGAGATTTTGAGCCACTCCCTCTAGCTTTGGATTATCTGCAAATGTACCAGTTCTTCCCCTCCCACATTTTATGCCCCCCCAAAAAAATCCTGCAAGATAAGTTGGGCTGAGAGATAGTCCATGAACTTCATGATTAAGTGAGAATTTTACTTTATTGATATACTATTAGTATACTAATATACATGTTGAGTGCACTATTCTGGCAAATATTTGTTTACCAACTGAAATATTTTGGTCCATTAGATCAAAAAGGTTCCAGGCTTTTTAAATGACAAATGCAATGCAAATATTGAGTTGTCAACCAGCAGATTTTAGGAGAACACAAACATTCAAACTGAAAAGCAGATTGAACACTAAAGCAAATTAATTTTGTTCAGGGGATTAAAAAAGGCTTTCAATATGAGTATTTGTGACAAATGCAGCAAGTTGAAAAAAATGGAGGTTTCCAGGAGGAATTAATTCAGTGTCTGTGGGAACTACATCCACTTTAACTTCCCTTATAATCCAGGATGCCTTACAGATACACTCCCACCCCACCTGTAAATTGCACTAGAGTGGATTTCTGTTTAACTTCCAGCAACTCACATTTTAATCTTCTATGAAACAATATTTAAAAATGGATCATAATGATTTGTAATCCTTTAAAATGACAGCACTAACTCAAAGCAGAATAAATGCAAAGACCATTAAATGCAAAGATCATTATTAACTAGTCTGCAAGATCAGATTAACCACCTGAGCCAAAATAACCAACCAGATGCTCAGATAAAGCAGACTACGAGACCAAATGTTCATTATAATCTGTTCCCAGTATCTGGGAACAAGAACAATATCACCTTATAACAAGGAAGTTCCACTTCTAGCTGACAGTGTTAACACAGTCCAACAATGTACTAATTCTGCTAAAAAGCTACTTCCCACCAGCTAATTGGTAGGCAACCTATGGAACAACCAACAATTCCTACTAACAACCCAGCCAGCTGTTGAAGGACAGAATTAAAAGGGATTGTGGAGGTTATAGCCCCATCTTCTTAATATATACCAGATCTGCAATGCAAAATGCAATCAGGGTATTCTGGACAAATGATCTTTTCTTAAATGTTTCCACTGAAGAAACAACCTCTTTTCCAAGGTGATCTGATCAATTATTAAACACTGTTAGGAAGAACTTCTAAAAGTTTGCAGCTTCTATCCTTTGGTTCTATCCTTGCCCTCCGCAGTAACAGGAAATGCAGCAGGAGGAAATGAATATGTTCCATCTTTTGCATAACAGGATTTTATCTCTCTTGCAGCCTAATCATCCTACAACTGCTTTTTAGTGGATTTGGCTCCAAGATCCCTCATTATTTTGATTAGCTTTGTCACTGTCCTAGATGCAGCTAGAATCCATACATACTGCTGTCATGTATTGTTGCCAAGACAGTCTCTCCAACCCTAGGCTTTAATAAGTATTATTTGTGCCTCTTCAACTCACTGTAGATAGAGTCACCCATCTCATTCATATGATCAACTAGGTTTATTGCTCTGAAGATGCCTTCAGATGAAAAGATTATATATGCTGCCCACTTTCCAACTGAGCATGTAGACTTCTCTAGCTGTTTTTTTTATCTATAATGCACACAAAGGCCTTTCCCACCTTCAGGAGACCATATTGTACATCTGGACTAATTCTCAGAATAGATAGTAGATCTGTACAGAGATCTTGATCTGAAAGGCAAGAATGTATTTTCCTGGGATCTCATGGGAAACTAAACCAGTCCCAGGATTCCACAGCAGGAATCACATGAACTCAGGAAAAGGTACAGATGCATTAAGGTATGCCTAACAGGTGCTACATCCGTATCCATATACACTCTGAAACACATTTTGCCCTTAAATCCAGATCTCTACATAACTGTAGTAGACAATATTGGACAAATTATACCAATCAATGATCTGACAGAACATGCCAGCATTTCAGTTCTTCAGGTGGGGAGAGAAACAAGGGAGCTGTCCAAGGTCCCTCTTTGTCCAACAGAGAATCTACCTAAGGCAAAAAGTATTACTCCTGAAATGAATACAGTAGAGAAAAGCAAGTACATTGCATGTTTGATTATTGGTGAGGGGCAATTGGCTAAATACTATCCTTAGACTCTATGCTGAAGAAACATCAATGGCTATCAGCCTCGACTGTGTGACTGCCTCTGAAAGCCATCTACTGGGAGACTATTGGGCTTCCTTGTGTAGTTGGTTGGCCACTGCAAAAACAGACTGGTGGATTAGATGGGCCAGGAGTCTGATCCACCAGGGCACTGCTTATGTTCTTAACTATGCATGCAGCTAGCAACAAATCAACAACAATCACACCACTCTAATCATAAATACTTTAATTATTAGTTGTAACAAAATATTTTGCCCTAAACATGCTACAATTTTAAAGCTCCAATTACCTTTACTAATCTTAACGCTCTGCTTTTCCTATTATCTTTCTTTCGAGGATTTGTAGCCAGCAAGCAGAAGTTACTCTACTGAAGTAACTTCATCTCCAAATAATACTTTAGTCCCAAGAAATATACAGTACTGTGCAAAAGCTTTAGGCAGGTGTGAAAAAATGCTGTAAAGTAAGAATGCTTTCAAAAATATATATTGTA